GAGGTGTGATTGAAAAACAGTGTTTAAATTTAAAAAAAACTTATTACAGTAAAAGGCACATTGCCATTAATCTCCCTCAAAATACTCCCCTCACTTCAAACACACCTATCTCATCATTCTTGCCACTTTCTGAAGCAGTTTTCGAAGTCCTTTTATGTATTTTTAGTTGCACTATCATGGCTGCCTGGATGTCTTGAATTGATTGAAAACACGCACCTTTCATGGTTATTTGACTTTGGGAAAGGGCCAGAAGTTGCACAATGCCAGACCTGGTGGATGTATAAGGTGGATAAAGACACACTATATTGTTTTTATGAGCATGCCTTTTTGTTGGATGGCACCCAGCACATTCACCATAGTTTTGATCACTCTTCATAATGACACTCATGAAAGAAGACTTCCGGAACTGCTTCAGAAAATGGCAAGAAGGATGGGCTATGTGTGTTCTAAGTGAGGGGGATTAATGGCAATGTGTCTTTCACTGTAATAACAATTTTTAAATTTAAACATTCATATACTTTTTGATCACTTTGTGTTTTTATGGGAAAAGAAATCTGTATACTTAGAACACATGACTTGCCAAGGTTTCTGTTTATTTTCTAATGAATACATCACATTGAATATAAGGTGGAAAAACTTTAAATTTAAACATTGGTAATATGTTCTTTAATAACATGTAACTTGTTTGATTTAGGCCACTGTAAAAATTTGCAAGAGTTGAATATGTCTAACTGCCCAACACTCACAGTGAGTATAAGCAGCTTTTAAAAAAACTGTTGTTTATAGAAATGCAGACTTCTTACACTGGAAAGCTAATATGTAGAGTGCACGCCCATGTGTACATTGAAGGTTGAAAGTGGAAAACAGAACTATATTAAGCATTGGTAAGAAATTTTAGCCTGACTATACAATGCTGTTATTAATCTTATGGATATATGCTCAATGCTGGAGCTCCTGGTAGGTGGAAACCCTTTAATGGTTTCATAAGGATAGACTGGATTTACATTGCATACGTGTATGAGACCAGAAAAACAGTCCCGGCAGTGATGATAGGCTCATTTTTGTGTTTTCACAGCTATTGATAGCTGCCTCAGAGAAGATGGAAATGAACAAGTATCTCTGTGCCTCCTTCCCGGTCCTTGTCCCCAGGCTTCCCTTCTGCCCCAGTCTGTCTCCTAATCTGTAAGCACAGAATGCTCTCTAACAGGCAGATCTGACCCCTTCACTCCCACCAACTACATGCTCCTCTCCTCTGCACTACTGGATAAAATCGGGGCGCCTTAGCAATACTGTGACCTGGGGCCCCGCTGTGGTCATGCCTGTGCTTCCTTTCCAGCCCCATCTTGCTCCACTCCTGTGTGCACAGGACTTTGCAGCGACTGCAGGCTGCTGAGCATTCCTTACTGCACACGCCAAGCTGCTCCTTGCACTCTCACACTTGCTTGTGCTGTGCTCTTTGCTCGGAATCCCCTTTCCCTCTGTCCCTGAGCAGCACTTTCCTTCTTGCCAATCTCTGAGGCTTGCTCTACCCGTCACTTCCTCTACCAGAGCATCAGGGCTGGGCTCACTCGGCTCCTTTGGGTCCCTAACCATAATACTTCTGCCTCCACTAACTCAAGAGACTCTAAGGGCAGGGGACAGGTCTTATTCTCTGCAACAGTCGCAGCACACAGCACAGACTTCAGTATGTGGGACTTTTCCAGTAATGTTTAATGAAAGCCGCTCTATGGACCTGCCTGTTAGGTAATGGACAACACTGGTTAGAACCTGACATTCCGTCTTGGATTAATTCCTATGTATAAATCATAATTAACATTATAAGAGTTATAAAATCAACCTGGAGAGAAGGTATGAGGGAAGGACTTATATCCCAGTATATATAGTCTGGAGGAACCCTACACACTGGGATATTAAATTTGCCCAAAGTGCATAATTTAGCAGTTTTTGGTATATTCACAGAGTTGTGCAATCATCATCACAACTAATTTTAGAAAATTTTGCCCACTCCTCAAACAACTCAGCCCCCTTAACGTCACCCATTTTCTCCCAACCTCTAGTCCCACACAGTTCCACTCACTTTTTGCAAGGATTAATTTGTCCCTCTCCTGAGTTACATCTGTTCTATCAGTGCTTCAGCATTTAAACTTTTTATTGTACTTAAGTTTACATACATAGCTACTCTTTTAGAACTAAGAGCTCTTTGAAAATTTTTTCCACAAAACTTATCCCCCATTTTCACACCAAAACATTTTTTGAAGGATAAGACATAAATAGATGTGCATATAAAAATATTAAAACCCTCAGAACTCATCCACTTCTTACCCCCATTTGGTTTAGGCATTTAAAGTAGTGGTCTGGTTTCTGTCCTCCATACCACAGAAAACAACTTTAGATTAAGTCAGCTAAGTATCTTCCAAGGGGCTTATAGTTTGACTTAAACAAGCTGCTTCTTTATGTTCAAAATTGCTCCTAAGAGATGGAGGAATACACATGGCAAAGACCACATTGGAGGAAAAATGTCCTACTTGGCTGTACTTTCTCCACCAGCAAAGTGAAAGTGGGCCCCTTCATTAAGAGAGATTTAAAATATTTTCTACCATACTCTCCCGATGTCTGCTTATGACTATAATGAGGTGTCTTGTCAAATGGACTTGATCTTTTGGTGCATATTTTTAGCACTTAGTGCGTTAAAGATATTCTGATAGGTGTTAGGGGGGATTTTTAAATGAATTAGTTTTCAGTTCTTGCCCTCAGGGAGCTTCACTTCTCAACCTGATTTTAAAAAGATCATATTTTTCTCATTTTGATTTTCTAGTAGGAAAGCCAAAGCAATGCATCTGCATTGAATTTGTGAACATCAAAGTCCTGTTCAATTTTGGAGTCTTTAAAGGGCTGATAATTTTATCCAGCTACATTTTGCTATTGTTTTCCCCTTTGAGACAGAGACTGGGAGACAGACTTCCATTGAAGGAATTGGGTGACATTCATTCAAAGAGCTTTGATTTCTAAATTTGTCTTATGAAATGTATCACATCCAAGAGGATTTCTGCACTGTACACCGTGGATAAATTCATAAACAATTCTACATTCAAAATGGCCTTTGCATTTATGTGTTTCAATATTTGGGGATTGCGTCTTGAGCTCTTCAATACTGAGAATAGAGCGGTATGAACATGTTCACATGTCCAGGCTCCTCTGGACAGGAAAATGCAGAGAATGGAGCCCTTTCTCATCTTGGTGGAAAGTCAGATTCCTGTGGTACACAGAGTGTACCCTCTCCTCCTCCTGCTCCTCGCATTTTTATCTTCTCTATGGCTCCCCTTCTTAGGGCGAAGATGCCTCCTTTTCCTCCTCTCCTTGCTCTATCTTATTTTCCAAGGTCTTTCAAAAAGGGCACAATGACTTTGATGCCTGATTGGTGCACTGAACTTTTCTCCATGCTTTAAAAAATATTTTGTATTAATGTCTATTAATTTTACAAAATATTGGGGTTCAATGTGGTCTTTTTATACATGAGCACAACATATTTTGATCATATTCAATCCCCAATACCCTCCCTTATATCTTTTCCCTGCCAATATTATTCCTTTCCTCTCATCTAATAATAGTCTTTCTCACACTGAACATTTTAAGACGTATTTATATGTAAACTATAGCATCAAGGATGATGGTCCTTCTCTCCATTATGTGCTGCCGGTGTATACCTTAAAGTGTGCATACATATGCACATCATCTATTCCTGATGGGATGTCTGGGAAATCCCGGCAGCCTGATGGCACTGTGAGAGTGCAGGGCTCCCCAGAGGCTGTGTGATACCCGTGAGGCGCCAGCTCGCAGAATGTCCCTGCTCAGACCCGTGGAGGTCTGCAGCTTTACACGAATACCTGTCCCATCTCAGGTGTGGCTCGCTGCCCTGGAAATCGACCAGTTCCTACCTGAGTGTGACAGGAGCACTGACCTGTGGATTTTGTTGTTTTAAATATCCATGAGTACTGGAAACAGTGAGGGATGTACTGTTAAACTGCTCATGATCCTGCTGAAGTTCAGTTTTGTCAACTGCAGTGATGCTACAAGAGTTTTACCCACATTGCCTAGCTTAGTGATGATTTACCTCTTTCAGCCACAGATACCTGCAATTGCTCTTTGCGGGACCGACTGACATACTATGGTGTCAAACATTGCAGGACCATAAATATTAAAAATTGGCCAGCCTGTTGATGTTCCTGGGGAGTTCATCAACCATCATTAAATGAATAAAAATCTGCTAGTACTCGATTTTCTGTAGTTACCCATATTGGGGGATTGCAGGTACTTGCCTCCACACTTGGCTCCCAGCCACAACATTCTCTCACCTCTGAGATTCCCTCCAACCCTAGCACCAGCTCTGAATTTCTTGCCCAACTTGTATATAGCCTGTATTTTTTGTCAGACTTTCTCAAACTTAACATAACTTTGGTGAAAACCTGTTCAGCTATTTTAACATATTCAGTATCAGAACCACCGAATTTAATTACACAGAGACACCTACCTATATATAAATACATACATATAAGTGAGGACTCATTTTTGATGAAGGCCAATTGTTAAGAGCATTTACTCTTCCAGTCTTACAGAATAATTTCACTAAGCTGTAAAATGGGTCAGTTTTTAGTCACTTTCTTACACCCAAAGAGTCAGGAGGTTTTGACACTTATACTTGTGCCCAGTGTCCTAACACAGGATGGAGCTTACAAGGCATCACCTACTACAGAAATGTCATTGTAATGGAATGGGATTTCTGTTTCCAAAGAAAGAGAAACAGAGGGAAGAATGTAGCTTCAAACAAAACTAGTAGCTTCTATTTAATTTGATTTGAACGATTACCAAAAAATACAAAGACCAAGTCTTGCATACATTGTACTATTTCCTGGGCCAGGGAGGGAGATGATAGAAAATGGAGACGATGGAGAAATTGCCAAGCCTGTTAGGGTTGATGAGATTCTTGGCTGTTTCTTATGCAGGATGAATTAATGAGACACATTTCCGAAGGCTGCCCTGGCATCCTGTATCTCAATCTCTCTAACACGGCCATCACCAACAGGACGACGCGACTCCTGCCCAGGTAATGCTGTGTTACTCGTCCTATGCTGAAGATACTTACGCCCCTCTGGGCTTGAGTTTCTTCTAGCGTACCCCAAAGGCAGCACTCCCTTTCCTTACACCCTGCCACTGTGGCAGTTTGGTCGTTGGTCCCGCACCTTGGCCAGTTTTCTGTCCCTCTTGTAGCTCTGTAGCTTGCATTAGACCTTGCCTGTCTCCTCCTGTCCCCCTTCCTGGGCATTGGAGCCTGGCATCTAAATTCCAGTCTGGTGTCTGGGCCTGCACTGTATCAGAACCCCATCATGCCCTCTTCCTTTGAGCACCAGTCTCCCAGATTCCCTGTTGCTGTGCTCTCGATTTCTGTTGAGACCCATCACATCCAGGGAACCAGGCACTTTGGTTTTTGACTGTCTGTGGCCTTCTGATGTCCTTGGCATGATGTTGCCTCTCTCTAGCCAGGACGCCTTGGGAGAAGGGACAGAGGAGTGTGACTGTGGATAGAACATCACAATATTGTAGAAATACTGATCAAGAAGAATATATGATCATATTGGGAGACATTCAAATATGAATTTGGGAAAATATTTCTGAAACTATTGTGCAAGAATGAGCTATTTTTGAGAATATAATTTTTTTGAGCTCCTTTGAAAAATAACAGTGACAATACTTTGAAAAGCTTAAACAGTGAAAATTCTAGGTGGCTAATTTTCTTTATCTCATGGTTCTAACCATTTTCCACAAACACAGACATCCAAAGAGTAGCCCCATATTTTCTGTTAATCCCATTAATTGAGACAGTGTTTTATTTGGTTAAATCTATGAAATCTTCCCTTTGAAATTTCTTCTGAAACTTTTAAACGGTCTTCCTCTCCCTGCCAGGCATGTAATATGAATTTACTTATTTTTTCTTGTTTGTTTTATTACTCAAGAGTATAATGAACCTAGAATTCATTTTTGTAGACTAATGAAGCAGTGATCTAAACTAGGAGTCTATAAGACATGACCCATGTGGCCCAAGGTCTGATTCTGTGTGGTCCACCAGCCGAGAATAGCTTTACATTTTTCAGAGCTGTTAAATGGCCAATCAGTTATCCAGCATCATTTATTATCATTTGTCAAATGATAGGTGATTCTTCATATATCTTTACAATTCTTGGATAGACAATAAGAGCTTAAAATTCATCACTTTCTAATATTTCTCTGCATGTTACTTTACCTGTGTTCTTGCAGTTATTTATGTTTACTGTGCCACTCTGATGAAATGCTTCTGATTGGTAGCTTGGAATTGGCCAGTTGGGAATATTCCACACCAAGTAAAATGGCAAACACTAGAAATCAAGGCAAGATTTATTGTTTTGTTGACTGTTTAGACTTGAGAAAGTGATGGAAAAGGCAATAAAGCAAATGAAATGCAAAAGTGTGTCATGACTGTAGTCAAACATTGTACATAGTACAAAAAATTGAGGAAATATTCTTTCAAGACTTTAAAATTATTATCTAACTCAGCAGAGCAGGGACTCATATCATTGATGGATGAGTGAAGACTGGGCATATGCCTCTGTTTATCTAACTCATTAATGTAAATGAATGTAATGTATGAATAAACGAGTATGACCTAATTCATATGGAACTACACTCATTCCTCTGTTCCAACTATTGGTTGACTGGCTACGTTTATAAAAGTTTAGCAAGTCATTGAAAGCGTTGTGTGAGAATTGATATCCATATAGGATTCACAATAAAGAGTATTATATATTTTATTATTTGCAACTTTTGTATATGTACAATATAAAATTTTATAATATTCATTCAATTAAAAAATTATAGTAAACATACATACATTTACATGGACTTTCTTTTTTGTTTTGGACAGCCAGTTGTTAGATGTTTACCAGTACACTGATAATTAAAGATAAACTAGGAACTGATTTATATTCTTATAATATGTGATCTTCTTATTAGGAACATAGCATATTTAAGTTTTTTTTCAAACCTCTTAAATATATCAATAAAATTTTGTTTTACTCATGTTGATAATATTTGTGAAAGTTATTTCTAGGTATGTATCTTTATTGTCACTGTGAATACTAGTAGCCTTTTAATCATATTTTTTAATAATATTTTCTCTTAGTTTCTAAGTGGTCATTTTTGGACTTGAGTATGAGATACAGGTATCATTTTATACTTTATTTGAATGATTTAATTGACTTATTTTTTTTAAAGGAAAATAATTCAGGCTGTGAAATTGTTTCTAAATAAGAATATGGCAAAGCTTTTAAGATTTGGTAAGAATTATTTTCATTTTCTAAGGAAATTAGTCTAATTTGCTTTCTTCTTCAACCTAGTAATTGCTTAGAAGAGAAGTTTTGGTTCCAAGTGGTTGATGTTTCTTTGAATAAGCATCTGTTCTTAATTATGCCCTGTATTCAAGAAATGTGTTTTGAATTATTTCTACTTTTTGGAATTTATTGGGATTACTTGGTGAACTGGTTTAAAATTAATTTCAGCAAATTAACCATGAATATTTAAAACAAAGAGCTTCTTTTAGAGAAAATTCTATCTGTATATGTATACATATGCATATAATCTCTTCATAGTAAAATAGTAATATATTAGTTACCTATTATAATCAAACTTCACCTAATTTGTGATGTTATTTTATACATAAAAATTAGTGTCATGTTTCATTATAGAATATAGCATTTATTCATATACAGTATCTCTTTCATGCTTGGTATTTCTTTTCCATAAGTTATTTTTAATCTATCATAATTACCTTCGCTTTCTTTTGCTTGTGATGTTTGTGACTTTACATATCCCTGTATTTTTAACCTATGTGTTTTGAATTTTAGTTTTATCTTTTATATGTAGCAAGTAGCTAACTTGTATTTTTTTTAACTTCTATTTTAAAAATTTCCATTTCTTTGCCTTTCAAAGAGGAAGTTTGAAAGGTTAATACTTTCTGTTAAAATTGAATGTACGGTCTTATTTTTATCATCTTTTATGTTTTGATTTTATGTCACTACACTGTATCCAGTGCTGCTGCCTTTTACTACGTGAACTATGTTGTTTACTTTTGTGACATGAAGGTGTCTGAGAGGCATGTACAGACTCTGTTGTGTATTCTAACTAGTGGCTATTTGTCTGTTGGGTTTTTTTGTGTATTACCATGCATTTGTCTAATTAGCAAAGCAAAGATGAAGTTTTGACTTGATTCTCCCTGTGAGGAAGGAATGCTGATACATTAACTGTCCCTCCACTTTGAACTTAACAGCTTTTCTTGTCCACTCCTCTGTGTGAAAACAACTATTACTTGTGATTTTTGCTAATCATTTAACTTTCCTTTTAATATTTAAATTTAGTGTTTGGACTTAATATTGTAAGTCCCTCTCTTTTTTTTTTTTTGGTACTGGGGATTGAACTGAAGACCTCATGCTTGTGAGGCAGGCGGTGGAACCACTGAGCTAAATCCCTGCCCTTAATATTGTAATTCTAATTCTAATGATCATGTAATTCTAACTAGTTTAAGCCATTCATGGGAGACTGTTATTCCCAATGACTGAGATATAATTTTAAACATTCTTATTAGTACATGTTTGCAGTACATGTTTACATTCATTGTGTGGAGTTAGTTCATGTACACAACACATCTTAATTCCTTTCCTCATCCCCTTTCCCTCCCCTCATTCCATCTCCTGGTCCTCTTCCCATTTGAGAAAGATCTATCTCCCTACTTCCTATTATCTATCTTTTATTTTGCTCTTTATTTATAATTTGAGTTTTTCGTATAAGAGAAACCATGTGATATTTAAGCTTGTGTGTCTGATTTATTTTTCTTAACATTATGATCTCAAGATGTACCCATTTTCCTACAAATGACCATGATTAGGCTAAGATATAATTTAAAAGTATTTTCAAGAAAGATGCATGAGTGTTAGACTTTTCAGCCACTGATCTCTGAAAATGATTATTATCCTGGAGATAGGATAATAACTTCTCTTGGTATATAGATCTTCCATCATGTTCTTTATTTTATCTTAAAACTTTACAAATATTGCTCTGTAAACTCGGATATTTCAGGTTAAAGAGAGGTCAAAAGCCAGAATAATTTTCTGTTCCTTCATTTGTAATCTCTTCTTTTTTTCTGCCAAGATGTTTGTAAGAGTTTCCTTTCCTCTGAGTATTAAAGACATTTTCAAGCTTAATTGTATTCATTCAATTAATTTTTCCTGGAATATAATAAACCTTTTGAGCATTAAAACTTGTATTATTTTTTTAGCTAAGAAAGGCATTTCTCTTTTTGAAAAACTTCTATCTGAGGCCGGGGATTTAGCTCAGTGGTTCCGCCGCTTACCTCGCAAGTGGAAGGACCGGAGTTCGATCCCCGGTACCAAAAAAACAAAACAAAACAAAACTTCTATCTGTTTATTCAGGGTTTTGGTTTTTTTGTTTTTGTTTTTGTTTTTTGGTGCTGGGGATTGAACTCAGGAGCTTGCACTTGCGAGGCAGACACTGTACCACTGAGCTAAATCCCTGCCCTGTTCAGGGTTTATCTTAAGAATCCTCCTTTATTTTTAGGTCAGTTTTATTCTTGACCTTCAAAGCTGCCATCTTTTCTCTCACCATTTTTGTTTATATATGCATCTCCATTAGCGTACTGCCTTTGCTATACCAGTAGTTCTTGACAGATGTTCCAAAGACAGCAAGCAATATTGTGGGAAATATCTAGCACCTGGCTATGGTGCTGGGTAGAAAGAAGCTATGATTTGTAGGGTTTATTGATTTCTATGGTGTAAAAGGTCCTACTATGGCCAATTTTAAACCATCAACATGACGTTACTTTAAGTGGACTTGGGAGGGGATGTTAAAAATTGAACTTATGGTGCAACCCAGCCCCAATGATACCCTTGTGGGGAGCCCCTGAGGATCCCCAAGACCCCTTCAAGAGTTCCTTGAGGTCCTCTAGTCCTGTGACATAGCATTCACCCAGGGATTTTCTTTAAGCATTTCATGCTAAGGTAT